AAAAAAAATAATAATAATAATAATAATAATAATAATAATACAGAACATCAACAGTTGGTTGGAAAACCAAGAAAATACCAATTTCCAAGAAAAGCAAGCAAAACAAATTCCATGAAAAACATAGGCTATCAAACACCAAGAAATGGGTGGAAAATGGAATTCATTTTCCATGGAATTTGGCCCTATCAAACATGGCCTAAGGGAAATAATAAAGGACAAATATATCTTTCTTCATGAAATGTACAATTACTTCTGCACCTGTAAATGTACACATGTAAAAGTACAATGATCTTCTTTTCCATTTGTGTTGAAAGATTACGTATTGGTTTCTTATGAACAAAATATCAAAATGTTTACATGGATAAAATTATGCTTGTTCAGGAAGTCCAAGCCCTTTCTCCCTAGAAAAAACTTACATTCCGTACTAAGATACAACGTCAAAGCGGATACCAAAATATGCTCAACACAAACAGATTTCAATACCCCCTTTAACTTCTAGGGGTGCTGAATCAGAGCGGACTGTAACTATGAGTTCCATCCAATCAACTGAAATTCTTAGTACTCTGTTTGAAAAACATGAAAGATTTAATTTGACCACAATGACAAAACTGTGTTCCTTCAGAGCCATGCTTTTGTATGGGGTTATATCTTTTGCAAGAAAAAAATTTCCCACGTAATATTATTTAATGGAAATTTTATAGCTATTCATATTTTTTGAATTTAAGTAAATACACACAGAATACAAATCAACAACCCATTCAATTGTTGACACAGTGAATACCAAAGAGGTAGTTTAGCTTCAAATTAAAATCCAACATTTTCAGAATTACATTGCAAATCTGATTTCAATAAAATTTGGCAAATTTTAAAATGCAAATTAAATAAATAATTTGTAATGGTGATAATCAATATAACTGAACAAAGGACTAAAATTCATTATGATGTTTGACTAAGTGAGTTGTACAAATAAATCCAATAAAAACTTAATAGAAGCATACAGATAAGAAAGTTGAAAGAGCAAATAATGTGTTAAAATGTTTACCTTCCCATCTAATGAAGAAATTGCAGATTCTGCTTCCTCCTTAGTGGCAAAAGAGACAAAACCATACCCAGCCGATCTTCCCGAAGGACCATCAAAGACAACTCTAGCTGAAACAGGATTGAAGTTGGCCGAAAAGAATTCTCTGAGATTATTAGATCTCACTTTCCAAGCAAGATTGGACACGTACAGCTTATGGCGTGTCTCTCCAGGTGGAGGACCTGCAGGAGGACTACGTGATGGTTTCTTGAATTTCTTGGCAAACTCTACCCTGATAATCCTACCGGACAATTCCTGTAGGAGAAAAAATTACTTCATATATTAACATAAACCAGTAGAAATTATTCTAAAGAGCTTGTAGAAAGTACAGAAAATCCTTTACAATGAACATAAAGCTTTGAAGTCCTCTCCTGCTAGTTCAATAATTGTATCAAATGTCACCAAAGCAGCCGAAGGTGTCTGTCTCTGTACAAACACGAAATGTTTATATTTATGCTTTTAGCAAATACTAACTTGAGGTAGTGATAGAAGGAACCAAAGTATTTTTCACTCATATATTACCTAACTGATGTATTACTACATTAAGCATACCGTAGTAAATATAACACATGCATCTTAAATTGTTTATGAGATGGAGAAAATAAAATAGATATTGAACACCGTTTCATGCCCAATTCCCATAAGGAAAAGTTCAATCCACCATCATTTGGATCCTGCAACTCCTTGAAACTCCCAAATAGCCATAAAACTGTCTTCTCTTAGTCTTTCTCAGAGCCAATTCTTTGGAGATTCCTAATGCAAAGTCATGGTTTCATATACCAATTCATCTTTTGACGATTATTCCAGGCGTTTCAAGAATTCTCCTTCACAGGAAAGAAATTTTACAAATGATATTGGTGGATATGCCACTTCAAACAAATTACATTAAGTTGAAGGTGGTCAAACGAAAATACGTGCAGGGGAATATTAAAGACCAGCTTTATAGTAAAACCCATCGTTGAGATATAATTCTTAACCAAGTACAAATTAATATCTGTATATTGCATAGCTGCCTCTATGGATAGAGCAATATTTTAAAAACAAATCCGGCTATCGACCCGAAAAAGAGAAAGGGTTAAGGGTCAAAAGGTTGAATCAGGATCAAACCGGTGAATTTTTAAAAATTAAAAAAAATATATACATTTACAAAAATTAAAAAAATATGTATAAATTTAAAAATTTTAAAAATATATATATTTACATAGGTTGATCTTAGCTAAACCGGGAACAGTTCAAGGGTTTTCCAAAAACAGGCCGGTTTAACAGGTTTTGGGACGGATTTTTAATTAGAGGTTTTATAAGCCTAACGGAAATGGTCCAATTTTTTAAGTATTGGGATAGAGAGTTCTAAGGCTTCTAGAAGATTTCAAAATTTTAAGTGTTCCTAAAAACAAACTTTAGCTAGGCATGTGCTCTCACAAAAAAGGACAAAGTAGCATGTAAACACCAATAAGTGTCTAAGAGTTGTGCATCGAATCTTTAGCAAATTAATTAATGAATGAATGAACAAGTTGAATTTTTGGAGATACAAGAGCACAAACACGAGCCTACTTTATGTAATATATATCAAGCAACCTAAGGGGCTAATTCTAGTGCTAAATTGAAGAGAAAATACTATCAAGAAAATAGTATGATGTCCAATTGTTTTAACTTGGGTATCCCTACTCTAATTTCCCTCTCTATCTAATCTCCCAAGCAATTGTTTTTTCATTTTTCATTATCCTTAGTATCATCTCCTTCTCCAATTACCATTGTAATGTAATCATTGCCAGACATAATTATTAAAGAAATAAGGGAAACTTACATTTAAATTGTATATCGCAACTCAAAAGACAATTAAGTCCTATCAAAAGATTCACAATCGTGCTCTTATTTTATCTCCCACTTCTGAAGTTAAATATTTCAATGGCAGTGAACTTTGCACTATGCCAAGACTTACTTTCCAAACATCATCAAGCATCCCATTATCCACTGAACTTTGCTCCATCTCGCTCCATCACTCACCGGGTGGAATCCATTAGTAGATCTGCTTACGTGGATGACGGAAAAATGACGTGGCCAGTTAAATGCATCTAGATAGTAAATTAAATGCCAAGGTGACCTCCAGGTCACGCCCAAAATCATTTGTAACCCTAAGCCCCAAATTCTCTCAACGTCTTCTCCCAATCCAACAAAATCCTCTTCCTTCCACAGAAAAGCAGATTTTCTAAAAAAATCCTGTTCCTTTCTTGATGCAGTTTCAAAAGAGAAAAATTCTAGTTAACTTCTGCATCTTAAGCAACATCGCTGGTGTCTACAAGAAAATCATGGATCATCTTAATCTTCATCTCATCTTGGGCGTGAGAATTCTTTTTGCAAGATTTCAAATTTTCCCTAAATTGAAGCTGTTCTAATTTCACGGAGAGAAACACGTGTTTAATTCTAATGGGTAAGACATGTTTGGCTGATAATCAGCTAGAAAATAGTATTACATTGAGGATTCGGAGGATGAAGAGGCAAAGCAGTTTTGGTGGCTTATAAAAAGGATTTGGACCTGAGTTTTGCTTCTAATCCTGGTGATTTTTTGCCATTTTAGGACTGATTGGTTACAATAGTTTTGAGAAAAATTTCCATGCATAAGGGAAACAAATGCCAAATTCATGCACAGCCTCATTGAAGAACACTGGTGACGACGGTTGAATGGCAAGCATTATTTTATTTGTAAAAATCGGAAACCGTTGCAATTCATATTCAAGTTTTTAAATCCTTTTGTAAATCTAATAAATTTTTAGCAAACAAATTTTGTCCTCATAAAATTTATCGTGATAAGCTTCAATGGGTGTTTCCAAAGATCTTGATTGAGTGCTTCAAACATTTCATCTTCATTTTTTGCAATGAGTTTGAGGATTGAAGTAAGCTGTGTTTTTCTCAATACCAATTTTCAATTTCTTTTGCTCGTGAAATCTTGTCACAATTCAGCTAAACAGCCTCATCGAAGAACACCTAAATGGCTGCTACGGAAAAAATTACAAAATGGTGAAGGATCTGTTTGGAAATGCTGATTTGGCAGTAAGTTGGCATTTAATTTACCATCTGGACTCATTTAACCAGCCACATCATGTTTCTATCATCCACATAAGCAGATATACTAACAGATTCCATCAGATGAGTGATGGAGTACGATGGAACAAGGTTCAATGGCTGGGACGTTTGATAAAGTTTAGCGAGTGAGTCGTGACGTGGTGCAAAGTTCAGTGGTATTGAAACATTTAACTCCCCACTTCTGTTTGTTTATTTAAGTTATTTAAGTTATACTCAAACTTTAGGAGTCTAATTAAATTTTTAGTTATGTCCCTTAATTATAAGAAATATTTACAAAGAAATTAACCATTGAAAAAGAAATGTTATCTTCTTCTTGAATGAGTCTATGTAGGTAAACTAATCATTTATATCATTTAACAACTAATTAACTGAAAATTTTTCAACTGTATTACAAATTTAATAATACTAGTTAGTTAAATGTAAACCATTCTTGATCTATTCTATTCTATACTGCAGGCTAAAAGATTAAGTACACAACTAGCTGTGAACACAAAAGAAAACAGGATGCAGACTATCGTATCTATGAAGCTCAAACAAATAAATTAAAAAAAAAAAAAAAACTTGATTTGAGTTATCTTATTGCTTTAATAACATAATATATTTACGTTGTGGCGAGCAATGGACAGTTATCATATTTGGTCTCATTAGTTGCCAGTAATTACAGACGATTACTATTCTATAGTTATAGTTCAATCACTTGGTGATAGTAAACATTTAGTGCAAACAACAGTCTTGAGCAATGGACAACAATTACATTGCAAAATAGACAGAATGAATAACCTTGTCTTACTTTTGAAGTGAAATATTTTGTGAACTCAGAATAATTAGTATATGGACACTGGTAAGGAACTACTGCTTTTTTTAACATAACCAGAAACTCTCCAGAATAAGAGGATTTAATTATCTCAGAAGATATTAAAAAAAAATTCAAATAAAACAACATATACACACTCTTTCAAGTTTATTAGAGACAATAATAGAATTTCATATTTAGAAAAGAACTTACGGAAGAGTCAAATTTATCAATTACAGCCTGAGCCTCTTCTCCAGAAGCCATAGTCACAAATGCAAATCCTCTACTTCTCCCATCTTTCTGTTTGATAATCTAAACTTCCAAAGCAAAAAAGAAAAATAAACCCAATATTCAGAAGAGATTCTCTGTAGAAATATAGCATAAAACATATATAATTGCAATTCTACATCTTTGTATACATTTTATACCTCAACGTCTGCCACAGTTCCACACTCACCAAAGAAGTTCTTTATATCCACAACCGAGAAAGACCAAGGCAAATTCAGCACGAAAAGTTTCCTTTTTTGATTAACTTTCTGGGCTTGCTCTGCATCTTCTTCTGCAATCGCATTTCCTAAAGTTGAGCGTAACTTAAATCTTGTGGTTTCGAGGGGATGAGAGGTTGAGAGAAGAGGGAGTGAAAAAAGCGGGGATTTAAGGAAAAATGTAGGACTAGAAGCAGAAATGTAAGATCTCAAAGAGGGTACGTATTTGTAACAAGATTGAGATTTTGGAGAAGAACAAGAGCAGAAGATGGAAAACGCAGCCTCGGTTGCCGCTGCAGCCATTTTGCACCACAATTGTTATCACAAAAGAGAGCAACTAGAAAGGGATGAACTTTTAACTCCGGTCTGTGAGTACGGTAGGGCCTTAATTCTTCTACCTCAAAATTATGTGGATTTTTTTTTTTTTTTTTAAACCAAATACCACTATAGGGTTGCTTATTTTATATTATAAAAGCCATAATACAAATAAAAGAGGGGACATAGACCTGACTTCCAGCAAATATAAAGTGCAACAAATATCTCAAAATGGATTACAAGTAACAATAAATGATACATGACCAAGAACTCCCATGGGTAAACTTCCAGGTGGTAGCAATCGAAATCTAGAGCTTGAACAGATGGATGTCAAAACAGCATTTCTTCATGGTGATTTATATGAAGAAATTTATATAAAGCAGCCAGAAGATTTTGAAGTTTTAGGTAAAGAGAACTTCATTTGCAAATTAAAAAAGAGCTTATAAGGCCTTAAACAAGCACTAAGGTAGTGGTACAAAAAGTTTGACTCGTTCATGGTGAGCCAAGGCTACAATGAACTGCTGCAGATCGATGTGTTTATATCCAAAGATTTCCAAATGACTTAGTTGCTCTTCTATTATATGTAGACGATATGTTGATTGTTGGACAATATGCAACACAAATCAGTCAGTTGAAGAAGGAACTCTCCAAGTTCTTTGACATGAAGGATTTAGGCGCAACTTAACAGATTTTGGTCATCTTCATTTTTTGCAATGAGTTTGAGGATTGAAGTAAGCTGTGTTTTTCTCAATACCAATTTTCAATTTCTTTTGCTCGTGAAATCTTGTCACAATTCAGCTAAACAGCCTCATCGAAGAACACCTAAATGGCTGCTACGGAAAAAATTACAAAATGGTGAAGGATCTGTTTGGAAATGCTGATTTGGCAGTAAGTTGGCATTTAATTTACCATCTGGACTCATTTAACCAGCCACATCATGTTTCTATCATCCACATAAGCAGATATACTAACAGATTCCATCAGATGAGTGATGGAGTACGATGGAACAAGGTTCAATGGCTGGGACGTTTGATAAAGTTTAGCGAGTGAGTCGTGACGTGGTGCAAAGTTCAGTGGTATTGAAACATTTAACTCCCCACTTCTGTTTGTTTATTTAAGTTATTTAAGTTATACTCAAACTTTAGGAGTCTAATTAAATTTTTAGTTATGTCCCTTAATTATAAGAAATATTTACAAAGAAATTAACCATTGAAAAAGAAATGTTATCTTCTTCTTGAATGAGTCTATGTAGGTAAACTAATCATTTATATCATTTAACAACTAATTAACTGAAAATTTTTCAACTGTATTACAAATTTAATAATACTAGTTAGTTAAATGTAAACCATTCTTGATCTATTCTATTCTATACTGCAGGCTAAAAGATTAAGTACACAACTAGCTGTGAACACAAAAGAAAACAGGATGCAGACTATCGTATCTATGAAGCTCAAACAAATAAATTAAAAAAAAAAAAAAAACTTGATTTGAGTTATCTTATTGCTTTAATAACATAATATATTTACGTTGTGGCGAGCAATGGACAGTTATCATATTTGGTCTCATTAGTTGCCAGTAATTACAGACGATTACTATTCTATAGTTATAGTTCAATCACTTGGTGATAGTAAACATTTAGTGCAAACAACAGTCTTGAGCAATGGACAACAATTACATTGCAAAATAGACAGAATGAATAACCTTGTCTTACTTTTGAAGTGAAATATTTTGTGAACTCAGAATAATTAGTATATGGACACTGGTAAGGAACTACTGCTTTTTTAACATAACCAGAAACTCTCCAGAATAAGAGGATTTAATTATCTCAGAAGATATTAAAAAAAAATTCAAATAAAACAACATATACACACTCTTTCAAGTTTATTAGAGACAATAATAGAATTTCATATTTAGAAAAGAACTTACGGAAGAGTCAAATTTATCAATTACAGCCTGAGCCTCTTCTCCAGAAGCCATAGTCACAAATGCAAATCCTCTACTTCTCCCATCTTTCTGTTTGATAATCTAAACTTCCAAAGCAAAAAAGAAAAATAAACCCAATATTCAGAAGAGATTCTCTGTAGAAATATAGCATAAAACATATATAATTGCAATTCTACATCTTTGTATACATTTTATACCTCAACGTCTGCCACAGTTCCACACTCACCAAAGAAGTTCTTTATATCCACAACCGAGAAAGACCAAGGCAAATTCAGCACGAAAAGTTTCCTTTTTTGATTAACTTTCTGGGCTTGCTCTGCATCTTCTTCTGCAATCGCATTTCCTAAAGTTGAGCGTAACTTAAATCTTGTGGTTTCGAGGGGATGAGAGGTTGAGAGAAGAGGGAGTGAAAAAAGCGGGGATTTAAGGAAAAATGTAGGACTAGAAGCAGAAATGTAAGATCTCAAAGAGGGTACGTATTTGTAACAAGATTGAGATTTTGGAGAAGAACAAGAGCAGAAGATGGAAAACGCAGCCTCGGTTGCCGCTGCAGCCATTTTGCACCACAATTGTTATCACAAAAGAGAGCAACTAGAAAGGGATGAACTTTTAACTCCGGTCTGTGAGTACGGTAGGGCCTTAATTCTTCTACCTCAAAATTATGTGGATTTTTTTTTTTTTTTTTAAACCAAATACCACTATAGGGTTGCTTATTTTATATTATAAAAGCCATAATACAAATAAAAGAGGGGACATAGACCTGACTTCCAGCAAATATAAAGTGCAACAAATATCTCAAAATGGATTACAAGTAACAATAAATGATACATGACCAAGAACTCCCATGGGTAAACTTCCAGGTGGTAGCAATCGAAATCTAGAGCTTGAACAGATGGATGTCAAAACAGCATTTCTTCATGGTGATTTATATGAAGAAATTTATATAAAGCAGCCAGAAGATTTTGAAGTTTTAGGTAAAGAGAACTTCATTTGCAAATTAAAAAAGAGCTTATAAGGCCTTAAACAAGCACTAAGGTAGTGGTACAAAAAGTTTGACTCGTTCATGGTGAGCCAAGGCTACAAAGAATTGCTGCAGATCGATGTGTTTATAACCAAAGATTTCCAAATGACTTCATTGCTCTTCTATTATATGTAGACGATATGTTGATTGTTGGACAATATGCAACACAAATCAGTCAGTTGAAGAAGGAACTCTCCAAGTTCTTTGACATGAAGGATTTAGGCGCAACTTAACAGATTTTGGTATTGTATATAGTTCAAGATAAGAAGAATCAAAGGTTGTGATTATCTCAGGAAAAATATGTTGAACGAGTGATCAAAAGATTCAATATGCATAATGTTGTACCTTTAAGTATTCCGCTAGCTAATCACTTCAAGTTAAGCAAAAGTTCATGCCCCTCATCCAAGAAAGATATAGAGGATATATCATTGGTACCTTACTCTTCAGCTATCGAAAGTCTGATGTATGCAATGGTGTGTACCAATACCAGATATTGCTCATGCAATGGTCATGGTGAGTCGTTTTCTCTCTAATCCTAGAAAGGAATATTAGGATGCAGTCAAGTGAATTCTCAGGTACCTCAAGGGTACATCTAAGATATGTCTGTGCTATGGGGTAGATGATCCAATCTTGAAAGGTTATACTAATTCAAATATGGTTGAAAATCTTGATAATAGGAAATCTACTTCAGTATTTCTCTACACTTTTGCAAGGGGGGCTATTTCATGACAGTCAAGACTAGAAAAGTGTGTTGTTTTATCAATAATAGAAGCAAGATATATTGCAGTGACAGAAGCTAATAAAGAAATGTTGTGATTAAAGCGATTTCTCCAAGAATTAGAGATCAAGCATAAAGATTACAAAGTACTTTGTGACAATAAAAGTGCTCTTGAATTAAGCAAGAATTCAGTGTGCTATTCTCAGACAAAGCACATCGACATTCGCTATCATTGAATAAGAGAGGTGATGGATCAACAGCTGATGAGATTAGTAAAGATTCACACATATGAGAATCCAAAGAATATGTTAACAAAGGTGATTCCAAGAAAGATGTTAGAGATGTACAGAGACATGGCTAGGATGATTGTCAAATAACAATTGATTTGGATACGACAAAAAGGAGAGAATTGATGTATCCAGTCGCAATCTTTGCTGGAATCAATTTTCTTCAAGCTGGAGATATTGAAATTCAACCACAAGTGCATACTTAATGAAGAAGAAACTGTTAAGAAATATAGCATCATTTATTATTTATTAAGGGTAGAATAGTCCTTTTTAGTTCCCTTTGTTTAGCCTATATATATTCTCTTTGTATTTAGGTTAAACTATCTTTTAGCATTCAATTAATTATGTAGTATCAATGAAACCCTAGCCTCCTTCTTTTTCTTCTTTATTTTCTTTGGATTGTTTAACATGGTGTTAGAGCCAGATTTCATGGGACAAAACTTAATCTCAAACACGGCCTTCTACAATCTGTTAAATCTGGTATTTCTGCAATCTGTTATTTATGGCTACTGAAAGAGACGATTCCCTTCAGTCTATGAGTGTGAGGTTGGATGGAAAGAATTATTCGTATTGGAGTTACGTGATGAGAAATTTTCTTAAGGGTAAAAAGATGTGGGGATTCATTAGTGGAACTTCTGTGAAACTTGAGAGTACCAATGACGGTTATGCTGCTTTGATAGATGCCTGGGAATCAAACAATTCAAAAATTATTACTTGGATTAACAACTCTGTAGAGCATTCCATAGGTAGAGAGTTGGCGAAGTATGAGAAAGCAAAGGAGATTTGGGATCATCTGCAAAGATTATTCACTCGGTCAAATTTTGCAAAGCAGTATCAATTGGAGAGTGATATACGAGCTCTTTATCAGAATAATAGAGTATTCAAGAGTTTTATTCTGCTATGACAGATCTTTGGGATCAATTGGCCCTTATAGAATCGACAGAATAAAAGGCATGTGCTGCCTATATTACTCATAGAGAGCAGCAACGGTTGGTACAATTTTTAAGGGCACTTCGCAGTGATTTTGAAGGACTCAGAGGTTCAATTTTGCATCGTTCTCCACTTCCTTCTATTGACTCAGTTGTCCGCGAGTTATTGGCTGAAGAAATACATCTTAAGTCTTATGCTAAAAATGGAATTCTTTCTGCTTCTAAGCCTTCTGTATTAGCAGTGTCTTCTAAGCCATCCTCTAATAATCAAAATAAGCCTTACACAAGGCTAGCCTTTGACGAGCGCAGTTTCTGTAAGCATAAAGGTTATTGGAAGGCTCAGTGTCCTAAGTTGAGACAGTCAAATCAATTACAGCAGCAATCTCAAGCTTGGAAGCCTGGCAACCAATCACGATCTAATGTTCATAGACCACCACAATCTAATACTGCAGCAGTAGCTTCATCAGGTCCTTTCACTGATCCTAGTACTTTGGCTGAGCAATTTCAGAAGTTTCTCTCCTTACAGCCTCAAGCTATGTCTGCTTCTTCCATAGGTCAGTTGCCTCATAGTTCTTCAGGTATGTCACATTCTGTATGGGTCTTGGATTCTGGTTCTTCACATCATATGTCTCCAGATTCTTCGTCTTTTGCTTCTGTGTCCCCTTCGTCTTCTATTGCTATCATGACTGTTGATGGCACTCCTATGCCATTAGCAGGTGTTGGTTCTGTTGTTAAACCTCACTTGTTCCTCCCTAATGTTTATCATATTCTGAAACACACATTAAATCTTGCTTATGTTGGTCAGTTATGTGATTCTGGTAATTTAGTCACATTTTCCTCTTCTTCTTGTTATGTGCAAAATCTGCAGTCTCAGAAGCTGATTGGGACAGGCCGTAGGAAGGGTGGACTATATATTTTGGATGAGCTAAAAGTGTCAATTGCTGCTGCCGCTACTAGTGTTGATTTGTCTTCGTTTTGTTTGAGTCCTTCTTCTTCTAGTTTTTATTTATGGCATTCTCGTCTAGGTTATGTTTCGTCGTCTCATTTGAGATTTTTAGCTTCTACAGGAGCTTTAGAAAATTTACACCCTTGTGATATTTCTGATTGTAGTGGATGCAAACTGGCAAAATTTTCAACTTTACCTTTTAATCGAAGTATTTCGGTTTCTTCTTCTCCATTTGATTTGATTCATTCTGATATATGGGGGCCTTCTCCTATTGCCACAAAAGGAGGGTCTCGATATTATGTTTCTTTTATTGATGATCACACTCATTATTGTTGGGTTTATTTAGTGAAACATTGTTCTGAATTTTTTGAGATATACTTAACCTTTTGTGCTCTTGTTAAAACTACATTCTCCTGTTATCAAATGTTTTAGGTGTGATTTGGGTAGGGAATACACTTCTAATAAATTTTGTGAGCTTCTTGCTTTAGATGGAACTATTCACCAAATTTCGTGTACAGATACTCCTGAGCAAAATGGTGTTGCTAAAAGAAAACATAGACACATTGTTGAAACTGCTCGTTCTCTCTTGTTATCTGCATCTGTCCCTAGTGTGTTTTGGGGTGAAGCTGTTCTTACTGCTGTAAGTTTGATTAATACAATTCCATCTTCTCATATTTCAGGGTTTTCTCCTTTCGAAAAGTTGTATGGGTATACCCCTGATTATTCTCTCTTTAGAGTTTTTGGTTGTACTTGTTTCGTTTTTCGTCCTCTTGTAGAACGCAACAAGTTGTCATCTCCATTTGTTATTGGTGTCTTTCTTGGTTATGGTGAAGGTGAAAAGGGGTATCGTTGTTTTGATCCAATAACTCAGAAACTTTATGTGTCTCATCATGTTATTTTTCTCGAGCATATATCTTTCTTTTCTATTCCATCCATTACTCATAGTCTGACTAGATTTGATCTTATTCGTATAAATCCTTTTTCTGACAATCCTGACAGTTTGTCTTCTCAAGAGCCTACTACTTCAAATGTCCATTCTCATGTTCCTACCCCGTTGTCTTTACAACTAACTCGTACTAATCATTTCGCAGGTACTGACACTTTACTCTCCGGCACATCTGAAGCGTCCTCTTCTCCTACGGTCCCTCAAGCTCCGTCTGAGATTGTGGATCCACCTCTACGTCTATCCATACGCATTCGTAAGTCTACGAAGTTACCAGATTTTGCTTATTCTTGTTATTCTTCATCATTTTCTACCTTTTTAGCTTCTATTCATTGTCTCCCTGAGCCCTCTTCCTATAAAGAGGCAATTCTTGATTCTCTTTTGTAGCAAGCTATGGATGAGAAACTTTCTGCTTTGCATAAGACTGGTACTTGGGATTTGGTTCCTTTACCTTCTAGTAAGAGTGTTGTTGGTTGTCGTTGGGTGTATAAGATCAAGACTAATTCTGATGGGTCAATTGAGTGATACAAAGTTAGGTTGGTTGCAAAGGGATACTCTCAACAGTATGGTATGGATTATGAGGAGACATTTGCTCCTGTTGCAAAAATGACTACTATTCGTACTCTTATTGCAGTAGCTTCGGTTCATCACTGGCGTATCTCTCAACTTGATGTTAAAAGTGCCTTCCTGAATAGAGATCTTCGAGAAGAGGTTTATATGGCACCCCTTCCTGGTGTTTCACATGATTCTGGGTATATTTGCAAGCTCAAGAAAGCGTTGTATGGTC